TAAAAAAAAACCCAGAAATTAGCAGGGTGTGGTGGCGGGCACCCGTAATCCCAGCTACTTAAGAGGATGAGGCAGGAGAACTGCTTGAATCCGAGAGGTGAGGTTGTAGTGAGCTGAGCTCACATCACTGCTCTCCAGCCTGGGCAACAGAGCAAAACTGTCTCAAAAAAAAAAAAAAAAAAGAAGGAGAAAAAAAGACAGTTTTAGAAAATAAGAGAAGTTAATCACTACCAGACTTGCATGGGAATAAATATTAAAAGAAGTTCTTTGAGCTAAGAGGAAATGATGTGAGACAGAAATTCAATTCTACACAAAAGAATGAATAGAACTATGCATTGGAACCAAATTATTTTCTGTGTGAAAAAAAAAAAAGAATGAATAGAACTACCAATAGTAAACATATAGGTAATTATAAAAGACTTTCTCATTTTAAAACTTTTTGAATATATTTATATAAAATAACACATGAGTTTTACAACACATAGAAATATAGAAGTTGAACAAAGCACAAAGTATAAGAGGGGTAAATAAAATATATATATATACTTTTGGAGATCTAAAGAAAAATATAAACATGAGGACAGAAAAAGAAGACATAAGAAAACAGATTTTCTAGAACTAAAAAATACAATATCTAAAATAAAAAATTCCATAGATGGGATTGAACACTGCGAACTAGAAGTCTGTATACTTTTTTTTTTTTTTTTTTGCCAATCAGTTTGAGCTTCTGAGGTTAGCCTTGAACTGATGACCTCGCCTTCGCGAGCGCCATTACCTCCAGCGGGAGCCACTTTGGACCCCAAGTCTGTATACTTTAAAGGATTAATAAACTTGAAGACAGAGCAAAACAAACTACCCACACTGAAGCACAGAGGGAAAAAAGAGTGAGAAAAAATTAACAGAGCTTTAATGGCTGTAGGACAATATTGGGTGGTCTTACTTACATTAATATATAATTGGAGTCTCAGGGGAAAAAATATATATATGTATATATATTTTTTAATTTAATTTTAATTTTCCCACACACACCCCCCAAAAATGTAAACAATTTTTTTTAATTTTTTGAGACAGAGTCTCACTCTGTCACCCAGGCTAGAGTGCAGTGGCACAGTCTCAGATCACTGCAACCCCTGCCTCCTGGGTTCAAGTGATTCCCCTGCCTTAGCCTCCCAAGTAGCTGGGAATACAGGCATGTGCCACCACACCCAGCTAATTTTTGTATTTTTGGTAGAGACAAGGTATCACCATGTTGACCAGGATGGTCTTGAACTCCTGACCTCAGGTGATGAATCCACCTCTGTCTCTCAAAGTGCTGGATTACAGGCATGAGCCACCGTGCCCAGCAAAAGTATATATTTATAAGGTCCTTACTTTATTTTTTTTTTGAGATGGAGTTTCGCTGTTGTTACCCAGGCTGGAGTGCAGTGGCGTGATCTCGGCTCACCGCAACCTCCGCCTCCTGAGTTCAGGCAATTCTCCTGCCTCAGCCTCCTGAGTAGCTGGGATTACAGGCACGTGCCACCGTGCCCAGCTAATTTTTTGTATGTTTAGTAGAGATGGGGTTTCACCATGTTGACCAGGATGGTCTCGATCTCTTGACCTCGTGATCCACCTGCCTCGGCCTCCCAAAGTGCTGGGATTACAGGCTTGAGCCACCGCGCCTAGCCGGTCCTTACTTTCTTTCTTTCTTTTTTTTTTGAAAGTCTCGCTCTGTTGCCTAGGCTGGAGTTCAGTGGCACCATCTCCTCCTGGTTCAAGCAATTCTCCTGCCTTGGCCTCCCGAGTAGCTGAGACTACAGGCATGCGCCACCACACCTGGCTAATTTTTAAAATTTTTTTTTAGTAGAGAAGGGGTTTCACCCTGTTAGCCAGGATGGTCTCAATCTCCTAACCTTGATCTGCCCACCTTGGCTTTCCAAAGTGCTGGGATTACAGGCATGAGCCACTGTGCCCAGCCAAGGTCCTCACTTTCAAGTGATATAGTATATTGTAGATTTCATACACTAAAAATATATAATGTAAACCTGTAATATTATGAAGTACATACTTGGTCTTCAACCCTCTTCCTGGCAATGATTGATGGCTGGAAGCCCATAGTTAGCTTCAGAATCCGGGCTGGTCACCAGAAGGATCAAGACATGATTAGAGGATTAGAACTTTCAGTCCCATCCACTGACTTCGGGGAGGGGAGAGGAACTGAAGTTTAAGTGGATGGTCAATAATTTAATCACTCATGCCAATGTAATAAAGTCTCCATAAAAACCTGAAAGGGCTGAATTCAGAGAACTTTCTGATAGTTGAGCACCTGGAAGTTTTTAGAGGGTGGTATAACCAGAGAGGGCATAGAAGTACCATGCCATACCCACATACCTCCCCTATGCATCTCTTCATCTGTATCCTTTGAAATATCCCTTATCAAAACCTGACAAACATAAGTGTTTCCCTAAGTTCTATGAGCCACTCTAGCCAATTAATTGACTCCAAAGAGAGTGTGAGAACTCCAACTTGGAGCCAGTGGGTCAGAAGTTCCAGAGGCCTAGACTTGGACTGGTGCCTGAAGGTGGGGGCAGTCGTGAGGATTGAGCCCTCAACCTGTGAAGTCTGAGGCTATCTCCACGTAGATAGTATCAGAATTTAACCAAATTAGAGGACACCTAGCTAGTATCTGCTGCTTGATGTATAGGGGAAAACCCACACACAGATTCACTCACAGAAGTTTTCTGTGTTAATGATTGTTCTGATGTGAGATCAGAGTAGAAAAACATGTTGAGTATGTTTTTTTCACCCACAAAATCCTAAAGCCATCACCAAGATAAAGGTTGAAGAAATATAGCTAACTGGACAATAAAAGCAATAAAATAGAATACTAAAACAATCAACATAAAGATGAAAAGAGGAAAAAGAATTAAAGAATAGATTTGATATACAGAAAACAAAACAGAAGGCCAGGCACGGTGGCTCACACCTATAATCCCAGCATTTTGGGAGGCCAAAGTAGGGGGATTGCTCAAGGTCAGGAGTTTGAGAACAGCCTGGCCCAAATGGTGAAAGCCCATCCTTACTAAAAATATAAAATTAGCTGGGCATGGTGGTGGGCACCCATAATGCCAGCTACTCGGGAGGCTGAGGCAGGAGAATCACTTGAACCTGGGAAGCAGAGGTTGCAGTGAGCCAAGATCATGCCACTGAACTCAGCCTGAGCAACACAGCAAGGTTCTGTCTCAAAAAAAAAAAAAAAAAGAAAAAGAAAAAGAAAAAACAAAAACAAACAGCAAAATAGGAGTCTACAAACCAACCATATTTGTAATTACATAAAATATAAGGCTGGGCATGGTGGCTCATGCCTATAATCCTAGCACTTTGGGAGGCTGAGGTATGCGGATCACAAGGTCAGAAGATGGAGACCATCCTGGCCAACATGTAAAACCCAGTATTTACTAAAATGCAAAAAATTAGCCAGGCGTCATGGTGCACACCTGTAGTCCCAGCTACTCAAGAGGCTGAGGCAGGGGAATCGCTTGAACCCAGGAGGCGGAGATTGCAGTGAGCCAAGACAGTACCACTGCACTCCAGCCTGGTGACAAAGCAAGACTAAGTCTCAAAAAAAAAAAAAAAAAAAAAAACCCATATATATATGAACTCTAAAAAACATTTGAAGTCAGAGATTGTCAAAGTGAACTTAAAAACAGACCACAATTATATGCTGTCTACAAGTGCAATTTGTAAAGACACAGAGAAGTAGAAGGAAACAAAAAGATATACTATACCATGAACACAAATGAAAAGAAAGCTTAGAGGCTAGGTGTGATGGCTCACACCTGTAATCCTAGCACTTTGGGAGGCCAAGGCAGGCAGACTACTTGAGGTCAGGAGTTTAAAACCAGCCTGGCCAACACAGCAAAATCCCATCTCTACCAAAAATACAAAAAGTAGCCGGGCATGGTAGCACATGCCTGTAATCCCAGCTACTCAGGTGGCTGAGGCACAAGAATCCCTTGAACCCAGAAGACAGAGGTTGCAGTGAGCTGTGATCATGCCACTGTATTCTAACCTGGGTGACAGAGTGAGACTCTGTCTCAAAAAAAAAAAAAAAAGTAGACTTCAGTATAAAGAATTACCAGAGATAAATCAAAATATGTGAAGCAGCCAGGCGTAGTGGTTCACGCCTCTAATCCCAATCCCAGTACTTTGGGAGGCCAAGGCAGGCAGATCATGAGGTCAGGAGTTCGAGACCAGCCCAACCAACATGGGGAAACCCTCTCGCTACTAAAAATACAAAAATTTGCTGGGTGTCATGGTACATGCCTGTAATTCCGGCTACTCAGAAGGCTGAGGCAGAAGAATCGCTTGAACCCAGGAGGTGGAGGTTGCAGTGAGCCGAGGTCACGCCACTGCATCCTAGCCTGGGCGACAGAGCGAGACTCCATCTCAGCAAATAAATAAGCCCCCTGAGTAGCTAGAACCACAGGGCATACCACCATGCCCAACTAATTTTGTTATTTATTGTACAGACATTCTCACTGTGTTGCCCAGGCTGGTCTTGAACTCCTGGGCTCAAAGGATCCTTTCATCTTGGCTTCCCAAAGTACTGGGATTACAGGTATGAGCTACCATGCCCAGCAGTACAAAAAAGTTTTTTTAAATTAGCTGGGCAGGAGTTCAATGTTACAGTGAGCTATAATAATTATATCAGTACACTCAAGCATGGGCAACAGAGCAAGACCTTGTCTCTAAAAAAATTAAAAAATAAATATATAATCTAGAAAAGAGCAAACTCAATTAAAAACAAACAGAGAAAAGGAAAAACTAAGAACAGAAATCAATATAACAGAAAATTGACAATAGAAAAAAGCAATGAAACCGAAAATTGCTTCTTTGAAAAGAAGAAAAGGGAAAAATGTCCATGAATGATCAATATCTGAAAGACAGTGCATCACTACAGATCATACAGATATTAAAAGAATACCAGGAGACTAAACATCTGAAATCATCCAACCTACCTCTTCAAAGGAATATTTTTCTACAGTATGAAGAGCATCTTGGGTCTCATTCCATCCTCCAATAGAATAGATGCAGTCATTGAGTGCAGCCACGCCAAGATATGCTCTCCTGGTTCCCATTGGAGGAAGTGGAGACCAACGCTTAGAAAGTGGATCATAGACTTCAAAAGAACGAAGTTCTATTCCTTCATTGCTGATGCCCCCAATTACATAAATTAAACCTGGAAATGAAATATTTTTGCTCAGATGCCATAGAAAATAAGATACAAATAGTGATGAAAAGTAGTGACTGTGATCTATGTTTCCTATGCCCATGCTATGTTTAATCTAGGGTTTAAAATATTATTTAAGAGAAAATCGACTTTGTCAAGTTTATCACCTCACTGTTCGGCAAGTTGCAAAAAAACCAGTGGAATTAATTTAAAATGGCATTGACAGGCCGGTGCGGTGGCTCACGCCTATAATCCCAGCACTTTGGGAGGCTGAGGTGGGTGGATCACAAGGTCAAGAGATCGAGACCATCCTGGTCAACATGGTGAAACACCCTCTCTACTAAAAAATACAAAAATTAGCTGGGCATGGTGGCATGCGCCTGTGGTCCCAGCTATTCGGGAGGCTGAGGCAGGAGAATTGCTTGAACCCAGGAGGCAGAGGTTGTGGTGAGCCGAGATGGCGCCATTGCACTCCAGCCTGGGTAACAAGAGCGAAACTCTGTCTCAAAAACAAAACAAAACAAACAAAAAAACATAAAATGGCATTGAGTTTTCAAATAACTTGAAATAATCTGTCAGCCAAGGATTTTCTTTTTTTGGAGATGGAGTTTCACTCTTGCTGCCCAGGCTGGAGTACAATGGCATGATCTTGGCTCACCACAACTTCCACCTCCTGGGTTCAAGCGATTCTCCTTCCTCAGCCTCCCGAGTAGCTGGGATTAAAGGCATGCACCACCATGCCCAGCTAATTTTGTATTTTTAGTGGAGATGGAGTTTCTCCATGTTGGTCAGGGTGATCTCAAACTTCACCTTCCACCCACCTTCGCCTTCCAAAGTGCTGGGATTACAGGCGTGAGCCACCATGCCCAGCCCAGCCAAGGATTTTCTATCTAATTGTCTGCTTGGTGATCTCAGGTTCCAGATCCCCTACTACCACCCATATATAAAACAGGAAAGAGGTTGGGCGCAGTGGCTCACACCTGTAATCCCAGCACTTTGGGGGACTGAGGTGGGCAGATCACAAGGGCAAGAGATCTAGACCATCCTGGCCAACATGGTGAAACCCTGTCTCTACAAAAATAATAATTTAAAAAAATTAGCCCAGTGTGGTGGTGTGTGCCTGTAGTCACAGCTACTAGGGAGGTTGAGGCAGAATTGCTTGAAACTGGAAAACAAAAGTTGCAGTGAGACAGCATGGTGCCACTGCACTCCAGCCTGGTGACAGAGCAAGACTGTCTCAAAAAAAAAAAAAACCATGGATTTTTAATTTTCTTTTGTAGAGATGGGGTTTCACCATGTTGGCCAGGATAGTCTCGATCTCAACCTTGTGATCCACCCACCTCGGCCTCCCAAAGTGCTTGGATTACAGGCGTGAGCCACCACACCCGGCCTAGAAACATGTATCTTTTCCCCTAAAAAATGTTATGCACTTAGGCTGGGAATGCCGCGGCCCTCTTTAGTGACGGCCTATCAGTTACTCAGATGGACATAAAGTAGGGAATTTAAATTTAAATAGTATGTGGCTAAATTAAGGTATCAGAATCAATTACTACAGTATACAGTTGGGCACAGTGGTTTACAATCCCAGCACTTTGAGAGGACAGGGCAGGCAGATCACTTGAGTTTGGGCAAAAAATACAATATCAGCCAGGCATGGTGGTGCATGCCTGCAGCCCCAGCTACTCAGGAGACTGAGGTGGGAGGATAGCTTAATACTGGGAGGCAGAGGTGCAGTGAGCCAAGATTGCACCACTGCACTCCAGCCTGGGCAAATAGAGCCAGATCTTGTCTCAAAAAAAAAACAAAAAAACAAACAATTACTACAGTAAAATATAATGTAATTTACATCGAATTTCCTTATAAACTCTGGCAATCTACAATTACTTTTGAATCTCTAGTGTTGTTTTTCATCTTCTAAAGTGGGGAGTTACAAAGAATTATATTTTAAGAAATGTAGGCTAAATGTTAGTAAACTTGGGTTTTAGTTCCAGCCTTGCCAGTAACCAGCTATGAAAAAGCAACTCACAACCTTCATGATCTCCAGCTTCCTCATCTATAACTTAAAGAAACTAAAATAGATTAGTTCAGGCCGGGCGTGGTGGCTCACGCCTGTAATCCATACACTTTGGAGGCCAAGGCAGGCAGATCACCTGAGTTCGGGAGTTCAAGACCAGCCTGACCAACATGGTGAAACCCCATCTTAAAAAAAAAGAAAACTAAAATAGATAAGTTCAAAGATCACTTTCTAGTTAGTGCTATGATTTTAGATGGGATGGTAAAAATAATAAATAGAAAACAATATAACATTAAACAGATATAGTTGGCACTACATAATTTGCTAGTGGAAATCAGAGAAGGTAATCACAAAGCAGAAGGAACTTGAGCAGGCTAGGCTGTCATACTACAAGGGAAAGTTGTTTTCTTCTCCACAGGTACATATAAATCAGCTCTCCAATCCTAGACAGAGAATCAGGTTCTAGTTAAAACAGCTTACTACCTACCTCTCAGAGTGTAGTCAATAATTAAAATAATGTTTGTATACTACTTTAATATGCAACATAGAATTTTTAAAATCTGTCACAGGATTATATGCTATGTGAACTGAATCACAATGTACTTTGAAGAAAAAAAAAAAAGCTGAAGAAGCCTACAAATAGAGACCATGAGCCCCTGCCGCGCGTCGCTCAGTTGTCTGGCCCTGTCGACCCACGGCCCACGATCTACCGACCCACGAATCAGCCCGGCCCTCTAGTACACCATGTCTGGCTCCTCCAGCGTCGCCGCTATGAAGAAAGTGGTTCAACAGCTCCGGCTGGAGGCCGGACTCAACCGCGTAAAAGTTTCCCAGGCAGCTGCAGACTTGAAACAATTCTGTCTGCAGAATGCTCAACATGATCCTCTGCTGACTGGAGTATCTTCAAGTACAAATCCGTTCAGACCCCAGAAAGTCTGTTCCTTTTTGTAGTAAAATGAATCTTTCAAAGGTTTCCCAAACCACTTCTTATGATCCAGTGAATATTCAAGAGAGCTCCATTTGAAGCCTGTACAAAAGCTTATCCCTGTAACACTTGTGCCATAATATACAAACTTCTATTTCTGTCAGTACTTAACATCTACCTCTCTGAATTTTCATGAATTTCTATTTCACAAGGGTAATTGTTTTATATACACTGGCAGCAGCATACAATAAAGCTTAGTAAGAAAAAAAAAAAAAAGAGACCATGAAAATAGTTTTTATTTTTATTTACTTTTTGAGATAGAGTCTCACTGTTCCCAGGCTGTAGTGCAGTGGCACCATCTCTCTCACTCACTGCAACCTCCGTCTATTGGGTTCAAGCAAGTTCTCCTGCCTCAGCCTCCCTAGTAGCTGGGATTACAGGAGTGTGGTACCATGCCCAGCCAATTTTTGTATTTTTAGTAGAAATGAGGTTTCACCGTTTCTTTGGTCTGGTGGGCCTCAAACTCCTGAACTCAGGTAATCCTCCTGCCTCAGCCTCTCAAAGTGCTGGGATTACAGGCATGAGCCACCAAGCCTCAAAATTGTTTCTGATACTCTCTTCCTACTTAGAAATATTTACTTAGATGTTCATGGGAGAGAAAAGACAGTAACAGATAACACTTTAAATGCTTATTTTGCTAGTCAGATATTCCTGCTTATTTGCAATTTTTAATTCTAGCCTTGTTTATTTTGAAAAAAATCAATTATTTTGGCAATACAGAAATAAAAGTCAATGATAGGAGGTAAAAAGCAGAACGTCAATGCTGCTAATAGTAGTCATTCAATACTAACAGACCTAAAATATACTTTTGTGAAAATAAGTTCTCAAACTCAAACAGTTTTGCAGCACTACATTTTGAGGAAAAATTTTAATTTTTTTTTTCGAGACAGAGTCTCACTCTCTTGCCCAGGCTGAAGTACAGTAGCACAGTCTTGGCTCACTGCAACCTCTGCCTCCTGGGTTCCAGAGATTCTCCTGCCTCAGCTTCTCAAGTAGCTAGGTCTACAGGTGCATGCTACCACATCCAGATACTTTTTGTATTTTTTAGTAGAGACAAGGTTTTACCATATTGGCCAGGCTGGTCTTAAACTCCTGACTTTGTAATCTGCCTGCCTCGGCCTCCCAAAGTGCTAGGATTATAGGCATGAGCCACCATGCCCAGCTGAAGAAAAATATTTTATAAAGTCATTACCTTGCATTTCACAGCACCCAAAGTAGTAGCGTGACACAGCCATGTTGCCCACTACTTCCCATTTATTTTCATCAGGATCAAATCTTTCAATGGTGTTCCCTATCTCAGCTCCAACCCATCCACCTATAACAAAATAGAAAAATGTTTATTTCTGGGATAAAGAAATCTTATTTATGACAAAGACCTTACAAAATATCTAAACCAAATACTTCATATTATGGATGAATATCATATGAACCAAAGAGGCTATCTGTTCCACCATCACATGAAAAAGTTAGAATCTGACCACGAGTAGAACTCAGGTCCTTTGTAAAATTGATGCTCTTCTGAGAAAAATAAAAAGAATTCAATTATTTTAATTTGGCGTCTAATTTTCACTAAAGACTAAAACAAAACAAAACAGACAAGCCCCAAAACTTCAATATATTGCATGGGAAAGATAGTATTTTGCAAAACTACCTTTTGAAATGACTTCTGGCTATTCAGAATGTTTATCCTAATCAAGGACAGCTCCAAGTCTAATTAGTGTATTTGGTGTAATTCAAAAAGGCCCTTAATCCCCACAACAACACACTCTCCAATTCTTAAAATTGAAAATATTATTTCCCAAAATTAACTAAAAAATATAGATACTTATGGAAGTAATAGAATATAATAGATTAAATCCACCTTCAGGTAAGTGATATTTTTTCCACAATAGGTTATGATGAGGGGAAGACCCTGAGTTAGAGTGAACTGAAGGAAAATAGGGGAGACTGAGGGCTATGTCAACTTATAAGTTCCTTAAGAACAACCTTGGTTCTAACATTTATTACACAGATAATTAAAGAAATAGAATAGCTTGCTCATAATCATTCACTACATCTACAAGAATAAAAATAATATAGTGCAGAATTTCCTTGTGATACATTTAAATTTTTGGCATATGCTTTTTTATATTAGACATAATTAGGCCACTAGGCAGAGTGGTAAAAATGTTATATATTTAATTAAAATAATGAGATTTAACTACTCAGCTAAAGGACTTCACTGGATGTCTCATCTATACTTTATCTCCAGTGATACAATTTTGATAATAAGAATTTAAAGAGCTGACAAGCACATTTACAGCATACAGTAGCTCCAGAGCTACCTGCAGAAGAATGTGTGTGACTAGCAGCTTGGTCAGCCAGACAACTGGCCAGGCAGGGATCTACCATCTGCCCAAGAACTGATGCACCTGCCCAACAAGACTCTGCCCTGCAGGTGCTCAGGTCCTCCTGTACCATTCCCTGCCTGAGTGCCTCCTCAGGATGGACAGCCCAGGAGCATCACCCCAACCCTACCTACACCTTTCCCTAAGACCTTGCAGTCTCCAGAGTATGCAGATTAAAGCCAATTGTTTTTTTTAAAAAAAGAATTTAAAGAGCTAAAAAGTGGGAAAGATCATCTCCACGGTAATCAGAACCCAATAATTTAAATAATATTAGCTATCTTTACGAACATACCATATTCTCACTTCTTTGTGGGATCTAAAAATCAAAATAATTGAACTCATGGAGACAGAGAGTAGAAGGATGGTTACCAGAGGCTGGGAAGGTTGGTGGGGGGTGGGGAGGAGGTGGGCATGATTAATGAGTACAAAAAAACAAAAACAGAAATAATGAAAAGACCTAGTATTTGATAGCACAACAGGATGACTATAGTCAATAATAATTTAATTGTACATTTAAAAATAACTAGAAGAGTATTACTCTAGTTATTTTTAATAACTGGATTGTTTATAACACAAAGGATAAATACTCGAGGGGCTGGATATCCCATTTTACATGATGCGATTATTACACATTGTGTACCTGTATCTCATGTGCCCCAAAATATATATACCTATTATGTACCCACAAAAGTGAAAAATAAAAATAAATACCTAAATAATATTAGCTCTCTTTAAATTGAACAGTATAATTACCCAAAGCATAGATAGCCCCATAACACACACACACTCCTAAACCACAGCGGGGATGATTCATCGAAGCTACAGTTGTCCACTGTTTAGTAACTGGATCATAGCATTCAGTACAATCAAAAATCATCGAATCCTTTTCACCTGAGTTAAATAAAAGAGACATATATTAGAAAGTATAGTAATGCTAATATATTAGCACCGTTATACAATATTCAGTAGTATTCTCTATTGTCAAAAATGCAACCATTATGGCTGATTTTATACTATTCATTAACTTTCACTTGCCTATTAAGCATTATTTTGAATCTATAGCACTGTCATTTATTAAAGCCCACTTATGAAACAGAGGCATAATTTTCCTATTATCTGTTTCTACACCCAAACAATCCATGTAATTTTTTAGGACATAATTTACATTTTAACCCTTCTATATTTTTTTCATGCATTAGTTTGGGTGGCTGGCCCTGGTACAATTTGAGTTTAAATGTAATCCTTTCCTAACCACAAACAGAAAATGAAACTTTTTTAAAAAGATAACTGAATTTTCATTTCTGGTATTTATTTATTTATTTTTAGAGGCAGAGTCTGGCTCTGTCACCCAGACTAGAGTGCAGTGGAACAATCATTGCTCACTGAAGCCTTGAAATCCTGGGCTCAAGTGATCCTCCTGCCTCAGCCTCCCAAGTAGATAGGACTATGAGCATATGCCACCATGTCCAGCTAATTTGGAATTTTAAAATAAGATATTTAAGAGTAAATCTAACCAAAGATCATGCAATGCCTCTATGGATAACATTTGTAAATTTTATTTAGATAAAACTTTAAATTATGGAACATCTAAATAAATAATGTTCACAAATCATAAGAGTCAATGTATCATGAAGATTTTCCTATTAAAAAAAGTCAATGTACAGATGATAGCTATCCCCATATTGATTTAGAGATTTAATGTATTCCCAATCCAAAAAAATCCATTTTTTAACAGATTTGACAAACTAATTCTAAAATTCATATAAAAGTGCAAAGGACCTAGAACAGCCAAGCATTCTCAGAAAAGAATAAGGAGAGAGAAATAGTCCCATCATACATCAAGACATATAACAAAACTATAGTAATTAAGAAAGGGACAGACAGCGAGACTAATGGAACAGAAAAAAAGATTCTAGGAACAGAGACATACATATATGATTACTTGATAGAAGACAGAGTTGGCACTACAGAGCAGTGGGGAAACAACAGTCTTTCATGCTAGGATAATTGAGCATACATCAGGAGGAAAATGAAATGAATTTCCTATTGCATATTATCCATAAAAACTCAATTCCAGGTAGATTACTGACATAAAGGAGGATGGAAAAACTATAAAACTGTATAAAACAATGAAGGTATAAATCCTTATGACTTTGGAATATGGAAGGATGTCTTAAATAGGGTGCAAGAAACATTAACCATAAAGGGGAAAAAATAAGAGATTTGACTACTTTAAAATTAAAAACATCTGTTCATCAAAGGATACCATAAAGAGAGCAAACGATGAAACAGCAGAGTAGGAGGAGACATTTATAGCATATATGACTTTATGAGGGCCTCGAATCCTGAATATAAACAAAATTCCTATTGTACATAAAATAGTTAACATAGCAGGCCTAAAACTGCCTGTCCTTAGAAAAGCCTATTGCAAGGTTGACCCTTTGCTGGAATCTGGGAACATGGCTGGTTAACAGTTCCCTGCACTGAAATAAAATTTTCCCAAAATGGTAAGAGTGGCTCCCTGTGCTTAAACTGTACAAACAATGTGGTTTATGATGAACACATGTTTTCCTTCTGAGGGTCTGAAATTTGGGTATGTGCTAGGAAAAAAGAGGCTATGTGATCAGCTGCCAACAAAAACCTTGGGCACTATGTCACTAATGAGCTTCCCTGGTAGACAATATTTCCCACATGTTGTCACAACTAATTGCTGAGGAATTACGCATGTCATGTATGACTCTACTGGCTGAGGACTCGGAAAGCTGTCAACAGTTTCCTTGCGGACTTCATCACATGTGCAACTTTTCCTTTTGCTGATTTTGTTTTGTACATTTCACTATAATAAATCTTAGCTGTGGATAATTACATGCTAAATCTTGCAAGTCCTTTTGGCAAATCACTAAACCTGGGGGTGGTCTTGGGGATCCTGATGTACCCACAAATCAACAAAACAGGCAAATTTTTAAATTGACCAAAGATTTAAAAAGTTACTTCTTAGAAGAAAAAAATCTAAATGACCAGAAAAAAATGAAAAACTGCTCAATGTCGTATTTATCAGGGAAATGCACATTAAAACCATAATGAGATATCACTATATTGTCACCAATAGGCAAAAATGTGAAAGTCTGATAGTATCAAGAGTTGACAAAAACTTGGATGAAGTATATATAGCCACTTTCTTAAAAGTTTGGCATTATCTATTAAAAGTAAAGACCTGAATGCATTGTGACTCACTCCAAGCTGTAGAAACCATTGATTTTACTCCTAGGTATATATATCTAGAAAAACTCACGCACAAGGCATCTGTTAGTATGTACAAAAATTTTGACAGCAGCATTGTTGTTTATAGTCAGAAGGTAGAAATAGTCCAAATGTCTACCAATTACTTAGAATGGCTAAGTCAAGTAGGTAAGTTAAAATAACCCAAATGTCTCATGATAATAGAATGAATATATAAATTTTGGTATACTCCAGCCTGGCACGGTGGCTCACATGTGTAATACCAGCACTTTGGGAGTTTGAGGTGGGTGGATCACCTGGGGTCAGGAGCTCAAGACCAACCTGGCCAACATGGTGAAACCCAGTCTCTACTAAAAATACAAAAATTAGCTGGGCATGGTGGTGCACACCTGCAATACCAGCTACTTGGGAGGCTGAGGCAGGAGAATCACTTGAACCTGGGAAGCGGAGGTTACAGTGAGCTGACATCGTGTCACTGCACTCCAGCCTGCATGACAGAGCAAGACTCTGTGTCTCAAAAAATAAAAAATAATAAATAATAAATAAATTTTGGTATACTACATAGTATACAATAGGAAACCGTACAGCAATGACTACATGAAAGAAACAAGATGCTGGCTGGGCATGGTGGCTCACACCTGTAATCCCAGCACTTTGAGAGGCCTACACAGGTGGATCACCTGAGGTTGGGAGTTTGAGACCAGCCTGACCAACACGGAGAAAGCCTGTCTCTACTAAAAATACAAAATTAGCCAGGTATGGTGGTGCATGCCTGTAATCCTGGCTACTTAGGAGGCTAAGGCAGGAGAATCGCTTGAACCTGGGAGGTGGAGGTTGCAGCGAGCCAAGTTCACACTATTGAACTCCAGCCTGTGTGACAAGAGCAAAACTCTGTCTCAAAAAAAAACAAAACAAAAAGAAATGATGCACAAATATCAGACACAATGTTCAATAAAACAAAGCAAGAATATTTATATAATTCATTTACATCGAGTTCAAAAACAGACAAATGTCTCAAGTATACTGCTTAGGGAAGTCTACATAGGAGGTAAAAAGTATAAAGAAACAAAAGGAAATGATTATCCTAAAAGTTTCTTCAACAATTATCAAGCTGTAAATATATTTATATACTTTTACATGTATTAATGTGTTATATTCCACATCCCAAAATTTAAAATGTAAACTTTCACTTTGGAAAAGTGAAGTTTGGAAGGCCAAGGCGGGAGGACTGCCTGAGTGCAGGAGTTCAAGACCAGCCTGGGCAGCATGGTAGCACCATCTCTGCTAAAAACATAAAAAATTAGCTGGGCATGGTGGCCAGCACCTGTAATCCCAGCTGCTTGGGAGGCTGAGATGGGAAAATAGCTTGAGCCTGGGAGGCAGCTGAGATCGAGCCATTGCACTCCAGCTTGGGCAAAAGAGCAAGACTCTGTCTCCAAAAAAAAAAAAAAAAAGAAAGAAAGAAAGAAAGAAAGAAAAGAAAAAATGTAAACCTTATGAATACAATCAACAACAATTATGTTTATTGAGCATAAGCTGCTTATTGAGCACCTAATATATTCCAGATAAAGAAAAGCTAAAAAGCCAGGTGCAGTGGCTCACGCCTGTAATCCCAGCACTTTGGGAGGCCAAGGCGGGCGAGTGGATCACCTGAGCCTGACCAACACAGAGAAAACCTGTCTCTATAAAAAATACAAAATTAGCCAGGTGTGGTGGCACACGTTTGTAATCCCAGCTACTCAGGAGGTTGAGGCAGAAGAATCGCTTGAACCCAGGGGGCAGAGGTTGTGGCGAACCGAGATCACGCCATTGCACTCCAGCCTGGGCAACAAACGAAAACTCCATCTCAAAAAGAAAAAAGAAGAAAAGCTAAAAAAATGGTTCTTATGTTTTAAAGATCACAACCATTTGGGCAGACAAGAATTAATCAGCAAACACTATTCAGCTAAAATAATTAAGTACTAAATTATCATACTGCAAACTGCATTGGGAGTTCTGGGAAGAAACCTAGAGGATCCTGAGCTCAATCAAGATAGAGACATAACAAATCATATTGCTGATGAATTCCTTACCTATGCTTAAGAAAGCACAACAGTGGCTCATACCTGTAATCCCAGCACTTTGGGAGATCGAGGTGGGCGGATTATTTGAGGTCAGAAGTTTGAAACCAGCCTGACCAACTTGGTGAAACCCCAAGACTTCATCTCAAAAAAAAAAAAAAAAAAAACACGAAGAAAAAGCAAGCACAACAGCAAGATCATTATTAGAGATGCAGGTTTTTGTTTTTGTTTTGAGACAGAGTCTTGCTCTGTCACCCCAGCTGAAGAGCCGTGGCATGATCTCAGTTCACTGCAACCTCCACCTCCCAGATTCAAATGATTCTCCTGCCTCAGCCTCCTGAGTAGCTGGGATTACAGGGGCCCGCCACCATGTCCAGCTAACTTTTGTATTTTCAGTAGAGGCAAGGTTTCATTATGTTGGCCAGGCTGGTCTCAAACTCCTGGCCTAAGGTGATCCACCTACCTCAGCCTCCTAAAGTGCTGGGATTACAGGTGCAAGCCACCACTCCTGGCAGAGATGCAGTTTTTAAATAACCATGTTTATTTTTCCAACTGGTAAAGAATGGTAAGAATGATTCTTATTTGCAAAGA